ATAGCTCGAGGATGGTGGTGCACCGTAACTGGAGGACGGAGGTGCACCATAACTGGAGGACGGTGTTCCACCGCCGCCTCCACCGGAATATCCACCGCCACCGCCACCTCCACTGGGTGCTCCGTATGTCGAGGAAGGTCGACCACCTCCGTAGCCACCACCGCCACCACCGCCGCCGCCGCCACCACCTGAAGGCGCACCGTAGCTCGTCGATATTCCTCCACCGCCGCCACCTCCTAGATTAGGTGTGCCGTAACTGGTTGACGGTGGTAGATAGTTGCCCGAGATAGGCGCTAGAAAAGAATTCCAAAATCTAAAGCTTTATTCTTTAAAAAATTTATCTTATTCTTTAAAGAATATTTTAGATACAAGAGAGATGTAAATTATATAGCTTGGTTGTCGCAGAAAATTTTATTGCATTTTGATTAATCTTATATTTGGGAAAATAGTATTTAATCTGTAATCTTAAAAATTGCTATAATAAATTTGGCTGCTCTCTCAGTAACTTATGGTTTCTTACATTGCTGGTGACTTTTTATTACATCGCAATCTTACGATGAAATTACCACTAACGTTTATTGTTTGTGGTAACGCTATTAGATGAGATGATAAGTCGGCAATAGCATTTACGCGGCTTCCTAGCAATCAAGATTGGAAGTTAACATAATACAAAGTAGAAATTCTAAAACTTCGTTTTCTCTTCCCATAGGATAGCTGTATTACAGCTATCTAAGTCTTCGTAATAGTACTAGTAACTATCAACAGAAATTTAAATTCCGCTTAACAATGTTTTAACCATCAAACATTGTTAAAACTTAATTCCGTTCAATAACTCTTGAAACTTAAAATTGAACTGAGTACAAAAATCAAGACAATTTACAGAAATTTAATTGAGTAAATAAAATTTCATTAATTTACTGTATAAATTCCTATGGGAAGAGAAAACGAAGTTTTAGAATTTCTACTTTGTATTAAGTTAACTTCCAATCTTGATCTAAATTCATATCACAACAATTTACAGGAAATCAAAAAGAGTAAAATTCCCTTCAATTTAAGAACACATGTCTTCATTACAGAGGAGGAAAATTCGCAACCAAGTCAGGGAATTGTGTTCGCGTCGGATAGTATTCTAAACCGACTTAGTCACGGAAGTCGTAATCAGACCGTAACGATTTCTTATCGCGGGATTTTATCTGCTCCGCGCTATCATCATCAGCGGAGTCGTCGTAAGACAGTCATTACAAGACGCTTTGTGTCGTACAGTCGAAACACCAACGCGGATTTTCACAATAATAGCATGGCGGTTTTTTTTGTTTGTTAAACACGCGTTAACGCGCCGATTGAGTCACGCTTCGCTTTCATCGTGGCTGATGCGCCGGAACGCGAACAGTGTCCGATTGATTTATCGCGCGAGCGTGATGCTCCGCCACGACAGTTGAAGAAGCGATTCATCGCTGGTATTTACGACCGGTTCGGCGGGTCGACAGTCATCTGCTGAAACTTGGCGAGTACGCCAATTAATCCCGGATCAGCGATTCGCTATTCTGCTACCTATTAATCCTTTGTAGGCTCTTGAAAGTTTCATACACTTTAAAAAAGATCAGTGTGGATTTAACACCACGCGGTATCTATATAGTTCTCACCGTGTTGGTGTTAATATTAACATCATGTGTGGATTTATAACCTCTTGTATTTATATCAACAAATCATGATTTAAAATCCACGGTCTTAAATCCATGTTATGTTGATGTTAATATTAATACCAACATAGTGAGAATTATATAGACATTGTATGATGTTAAACCCACACTGATAGTTTTTAGAGTGTAATGGTCACCGGGTTGAAATGACCCCAAAGCATTTTGGTTGCTGCGTATTCACAGTTTTCGTTCCTTGAAGTAAAAAAATTACTGAGTATATTGTAAACATTTTAGAAATAAAAATGCAGCGGTTTTATAAAGATTTCAACTTTAACATATTAAAAAATTATGGAAATAAAATTTTTTGAAAAATGAGACTTTTTACTAAAAAAAAATCATAATTTTTTCAATTTTTATTTCTTTTTTTATAAAAATTTATGACTATTTACAGAAATATGAGACTTTCAGAAAAAAATAGTGCAATAGTTCGCGTTCCAAAAAAAGTATTTATTCTGGGAAATGAAGGAGGCTATTTTAATTTATGGAAAAAAAAAGTGTGAAATATTATCGCATGAAAGATTGATTATTCCACTGAGAAATTCCAACCAAAGAGATATTAATTAAAGATAGAACATCAAAACATTCTTTGAAGTCAATTTGACACAGTGTGACTATGAAGGGTTAAACAAACGGACATTTAATCTCTCGACGTTCAAAAAAGAAACTTATTGAAGGTTCCACTTCGATTTAAGAGAGATAAATAATTCATACGGCTAAAAACTTGAACAGCACTGAAGGGATAACAAATGGAAAACAATTAAATTCAGTTTGCGACATATAAAAATTGAATGGAATAAAATAAAGCGAATCGAAACGAGAGGCGCGCGGTAAAAATCAAATATAATAAAATAAAGTTTTAAAATAAAATAAAGGTGGACGTATAAAAAGCGCGACAAAATAATATAACGCGAAATAAAAATTAAAAGTTTTTACAATCGTTTTATTTTGAGAAACTAATTTGTTAACATTTTCCCATTAGACAACCGCTGGCAAAACACCGCAATGATCTTCAACGCACGCACGGTATTTAAACAATAACTCGCGTGTGGGCGCGTGACGTTTACACGTGTTAAAATCGAAATCAGAACAATCGCGGTAAAGTTTCGGCTTTGCACGCTCGCGCGAGTTAGATTACGCTAGATCGCACCTGATAGTTCTGATTTATGCAACGATCCCAACACGCTATGCGCAATTTGCTGAGAGATGCTCTGTCCGATAGTTCACGTCTCTCTAATACTTGACTATTTCAAGCCTGGTGCACACGGCTTCTACTTTTTCATGCGTCCCAATTTCACAAAATCGCCTGCATTACTTGAGAGAAAGAAAAACGTATCGATCGCTCGAGCGATCGAGTAAACTTGAAAAAAATGTTCGATGAATAAATTAAGATAATCTATAATGTAAAAACATTTCGTTGTTTGAATGACGAAAATGCTAGTTATTAAAGATTTTCCTATAATTAACTGATGGCGTGTGATGAAACTGCGTAAAGTAGTACGCCTACAGGCACGCTTGAACCTAATCGGAAACATAAATTAATTCGAGAGATAAAAAATGAAATGTTTTAATCAGAACTTAAAGCAGGTATATAATAAGAGACTTATAACCATGTTTACGCTTGAAAACACAGAGAATTTGATTATCAAGATTTAACGCTCAATCAACTACGTTTTTACTTTATCTCTTGATTAAGCACTTCGTTATGTCGATTTAGGGCGGCAGAGAATATATCGAAAAGAAGTTAATTTTTCACCGGCATTTTTTTTTACTTATATTTAAAATTTAAATTTAAAGAGCTGATTAGGTATAATCTTAATGAAAAGTCTGATTCAATTTAATAGCTGAAAGTAAAAACTGCCAAATCGTAAACTCCATTTTTTACTCACATATTACAACGCGTTGCAGGACAACAGTGGACTTTCTAATAAGTTTTCCGACAAGCTGACAAATTACAGATCCGTCGTGGCGACATTCATTAAGTTAAAAATGTTACGTCGCACGCTCGCTACGTAATGCGTACTTTAACCGTGAAATTACTATTGACATACAGTGCGTTTCTTATAACGCATCCCCTTCTAAATTGTATTCTGCTGGCGATCTTACTTGTGCGCCAGCGACGAGAGATTTTACCTTAATGCCTCTTTTTTTTACTACAATGAATTTAATAAGCTATTATGAAATGCGTGAGAAAGAGGAGCTAGAAGACTAACGTGAAGCGAGCAACTTTAATATTATAAAAACATTCTTTCCCTCAAAGTCATTAATTTATCTCGCTTTCCGATGCAGAAATCCGGCACGCGATTTTCTTGAGACTACTTTTACTCTCGCGAAAACTTAATGTGGTCGTCTCGCGTTTCTTTTTCTTCTCTTTCTATTTCTCTCCATTGAACATGAAAGAACAATTAGGTATTCATAAGATCTCTCTTCATCTTAATACAAGAACTGTTCCATCCCATAAAAGATTAGCAGACTCCGAAAACTTCTTCGTGCTAGATTAATTCCATGTTCAGTTGCATTCCTCTACTCCGCGTATCACAATAATGCATATCGTTTTTTCTCATCACCGGTAAAAACTCGCATTGTCAAGTTTAAGTTTCAAATTTAAAAACCCGAAGAGCAACCCATGCAACACACTTTATCCGAGAGACATCCTGGGAACGTCCTTAGGACGTTCAGAGGATATACACTGAAAAAAAAGACGTATCAACAGCATTATTTTGAAAATAATTTCGTTGACTTAACAATAGTTAGTATTAATGAGATAAATAAAATTTTATTAAAACCGGAGCATGACGTATATTTGTTTCATTAGTGTTATTAAATTATAATAAAATCATTTTCAATAAAAATAATGCTGTTGATATAATATAATTTGTTTCAGTGCAGAGACATCCTCTGGACGTCTTTAGGACGTTCCTTGGAAATTTATACTGTACGGGAATCTCAAGAATCAAGAGATTAACGTTAGATAACGATATGAGGACCCTTCTGAGATCTTACCATCGGCGTGGATGGGCCTCAGCAGTAGAGCCGTCGCGACGAGCGCGGTCACTGCCAACGGGGCCCAGCTTCTCGCGGGCCTCATGGTCCCCGGCGATCGAAGTCTCGTGGAGGTCTCTGTGATGTTCCTCGGCGCCGAGTCACATGCACGAATTTGCGTTTCGTACGAACGAAAGTGCTGTCTCTCCCTCTTTCTCTCCCAAGCTACCGTCACGTATATGCGGGGTGAACTTACGAATGGAAAAACAGATGCAATCGGGGCGCGGCGGCTCGACGTGGCCTGCTCGACGCACCCGTGCGATTTCGTCTAACGTGCTTCAAACAGCGTGCATCTCGCTTATATAGTTGGCCGTCTTTCGGAGAAAGTCCTCGTCGGGAGTGCAGGAGGATGCTACCGACCAGGTGAGACTCCCGGAGAACGTGGGAGGCAAATACTGACGAGGGGGGGAGGGACATAAGAAGACAAGCTATCTTGGGGAGGCCCCCCCCCCCGGTCAGGAATTATATATCCGTGGGGGAGAGGGGGGTGACTGAAGGATCTGACGGTTTTCTGAAAGATCAGGCAACGGGATGTCCTGCTAGCGATTGACCCTGGTCAGGCTGTTAACGAGGGGGCTCTTTTTTTCGTCTGGGACGTTCTTTCGCTCTCTTCTTCGCGGTGAACTCAGCGTTCTCACTGCGAGAAATCTTGCGCCGCCTGGCCTTGGTGTCATCTGGCTCCGCTCGAGGAGAGCGATCAGCGAGAGTAACGTAGCATTGCGCACGAGCTCTCGAGCACGTGAACTCTCGTGCAAGCGATCCGACTGGAGCGATTCGGATGGATAGCACATAAAATATTCTGTGCCGCGCGTTCAGTCGGTTCGTTTGAAACGGAGATATCGTAAAATTGGGAATATCGAATAAGCTCCGAATTTAACGAGTCGTAGAAAAATGCGATAACCGTGTGTGTTTTCAAAGAGATTTCACGCGAGTAAAATTGTATCTTGGAAGATAGAAGGTTTTTTGACATTTCGCGAAACTCTTTCATAAAATTATATTTCATACATATAAAAATTACATATTAAATAAGCTAATGGAATGTTGGCATTTATAACAAGTACACAATAAAAACAAGTACATAATGAATACAAGATGAGCTGTTTGTTTCGCAAGCAATCTAAGTGAAGTTTCGAAAATCATCACGTCACTTCTCTAAGTCCTTTCTCCGAAAAGTAAGTTTAATGAGGACCATTAGTAAGCAGGGATCGTGCGATCGAAAATTGCTCGCTTGTTATTCGTCACACGCTCAGCTTCACCTGAGAAGCCCACTTGTCGACTAGGAACTAGATAACTAAATCGACGAAGGATACAAACAGATCATACTGTTCTTCATAGGTGTTGTTCTAAATTGGTATCACGAGAGGATCGATTTTATTTCTAAATTAAATATTATTTTATAATTAATTTAGGGCAATGAGTTAAACTCAATTTAGGGCAATTAATAATGTAAATTAACGAAGTCTTATATTAGCTAAAGCTGTTTCTATCAATGTAGTTGACTTTAATTTTGGTTTAACTTATTTTTTTATTTTTTTCTAATTCTACGAATTAGGAAAAGAATGAAGACTAAATTAAACCGAGATTAAAGTTAATCTACGTTGATAGAAATGGACACAAAGAGAGATTTTTTTGGTGTGATTGAACAATTGAGAATTTTTCTATAGAAAGATGAACTTGAGATAGCACAAAAAATTTTACTGTACGAAACGAATTCTGAGAGGTGTATGAATGTCGATCTAGGATATCCAGGCGATATTCGAGAAGCAATTTGTTTGAAATACGTTTCGCTATAACCCGTAGATACACTGGGAGTGTGACCATGATTTCTAGGCCGAGGACACAATCTGTCCATATACGCGAAGGCATAAAAATGACGGTATCGTCGATGATGTACGTGCAGATCGTTTCGCGGCGACGTGCGATTTCAAGCAGTCTTAAAAAGACGAAGAAGGCGAAGCTGAAAGTATAAAATATCTGACGAACGCGTCTCTCAGTACGCCAACGCTTCTTGATGCATTTCGAGCTGTAACTTAAAAAATGCATATAAATGTTACGCCAGTTTATAACACTGGGAGAAAAATCTTTGCGTGCGCAACGTTATTCAAGCATCCCATATTCAGTACATAAGGAAGACCATTAACTATAAAGGAATGATCTATTGAACGCGAAGAAGAAACGAAAGTTCACCGAAGAAAGTATGAAAGGGAAACATGGAGCTGAAGGAGTCCGGTATTTTTTTTTTTACGTCTGAAACGTCTATCTTGTGTCCGTTATACGAGGGATACGCTTTTCATAGCTGGCTGCATCTCGCGCATTATATTCTTGTTCGCACGCGATTATCTTACGCTATAGGACTTCTATAACGTAAGATAATCGTTTCTTTTCCGCGGACGAACGCACAGCGATCTTAACTGCTCGCATAAGTGCAGCAGGTGCCGCTCGTTGTCCTAAACGCGAGATGACGCAACGTATAATAAAAATAATCAATAATTTTTAATAGCGGGAGTTCGCGTAATTTGGGTTCCGTTTCGTTGCCCGTTCCTATAAGTAGCTGGAAGTACAGTGTTGCGACACGCGGCTAAAGTATAATAACTTAATGGCATACGCGGAACAAAATGATGAAAAGAGAATCCTATTGGAACGAATGTGCTCGCTCATTGACGAAAAAAGATTCGCGCGATCGCTGTCGGAAAGATTGATGACTAATAAGATGATTAATAAGCGATATAATAAATTATGAGTGTGAAATATTTTTTATTTAGTTAATGCTTTCTAATAATTGTTATTAGAAACAGCAAATATCATATATCAAATATATTAAGCGTAATACATCAAATCCAGGGACATAAATTAATGTATTGAGACGCAAAAAATTTTCTTATATTACAAAATACAGGAGATAGACGAAATAACATAAACTTCTCATCAATATACCATTTATATTACTACTTATTTTATTAATCAAGAGATTAGCCCATTTTTGTTTTTAATACACATTTTATCTTTAGTAAAACAATCACATAATGTACAAGTTGTTACTAATGGAATGTTGTATTATTCTTTCAGAAGAACATCTTTCAATTGCTTATAATATTACAAAAGAAAATTTTCTTCTCCAATATGAGTATCAAATAATATCGATGGTAACAATTCAAACACTATATGATTATTTCAACAAGGACAGAATGTGTATTAAAAGCAAATGAAAGATCAACCTCTTATATTAATAAAACATTCTTTTTTCACTCTATTTTCCAAAATTACCTTCTGTTCTTCTCTTGAACTTTAATATTTTTCTGATCAATGCAATCACCTGATTCGAGTACTATTTGTGGTTTTAAAGAGCAGAGTGGGAGATACACACAGATTTCCTCCTCCAATATCTTTCAAACAAGATATTTTACTAGAAGAAAATAGGAAAATGATAGTAATTACTTTCCTATTATTCTATAATAGAAAAGTAATAACTATTATTTATATGTAATAATCTAGAATAGGAAATAATAAGAAATATTATTTCTTGTTATTCTCTATAATAATAATATAAAAGAACAACAGGAAGTAATAAGAATTAGTGTAATATTGCAGTAGTTCCTACATTATTCAAGCATGATTCTATTCCAGGATAAAATTTATATTAAAGATAAATAAATAATAGGTCCAACTTCTTATTAATAAAACAAGAGAGAGAGTATGCAATATATTTCTTAAACGTTTGTATTATTTTATTAATCCCCTGTAATACTCACTAGTCAAAGATTCTCGTTTCCATTAACTACATATATATTTAAAAAGACATCAATTAGGTGACTTGAAGAATTAGATCCATCTATCGCCGAGAGTTTCGTAAATTCTCCACAGCCTTATTTGCAAATCGCACTTATAATTCCGGCCGGCAATCGGTTCTCGTAAGATCTGTTATTTGTAAACAGACAATTGCTATCAACGACTAGCGTTTTAACGACCGGTGGATCATCGGTAGTCGGTCCAATTAGCGCGCGAGTATGACAAATCGCACGGCGAAGAATCTCCGCCATTCTTCGTGCGTGTGCGAACTTCACGAAACGGTCCCGACACCTACGACGTTGCTCTCACCGATTGCTGAAAGAGAACGCTGAAAGAGACGCCGCTTGCTAAATCGACGATTTATTATCGCCCGTGTAGCAATAACACGAGCGAGGCTCGAGATGCGCGCAGCTATGTGGCTATGACAAACGTTGCGGTAATACAGATCGGATCAGATCGCTCCGGCCGAGTGTCTCGCTTTGCCGGATTGATCGATCATTGCAACACGGATGCTGTAAAAATGCGCGATCCGTGATTATTGAATCGATAGATCGTTGATTGCCAAGAAATGAAAGCATTTTATTGGATGAAAGCATTCTATTGGTACGCATAAAGTGTATATTTCAACGAGATGCAGTCTCATGCAGAACACAAATCATCACACTGGAAAGAGTCTGATTGCATTAATTGGAATTCTAGTTGAAAGTGGGTATTAAAATTTTTTGATTGAGTTTATTATAATTCTAATTGAAGTAACCAGAATTCTGATTGATATGATCAGAATTTTCTGATTCGTACATTTTTAATTAAAAATTCTTCTCAATGTATAAGATTGAAATGATATCAAAATGACTCCAAAAATATTTGGACTCCAGAAATATTTAGTTCTTCCAGCGAAATTGTTTAGGCAAATAAATGAAGCATTTTTTAAGAATAATAAAATATTTTGTTTATACATATAACAAAGAATTTAATTGCCTCTACCAAATACATTTTTCTGCTTCAGGAAAAAATAATAAAAATATTTATTTGTACCAATTGAACAATTTATTTCGTATAAAATAGTTCTATTCGGTATATTTTTCAAATCTTTTTAAGTATATTTCAACTAACTTTTTGTTGTTACAGCGAAATTTTGGTTCATGGAATAAAATATTTTTTCTAACACCTTGATGTTATCGTTCCTAGCAAACATCAACTAAGTAACATAACAGTTATAATTTTCCACTCAACAGTATAACTGTTACATGTTATATAACTGTTATATGTTATATTGTGTTATTACGTTGTAAATTGTAACTTATGACAGTTATGATATTGTTAGTTACTGTTTGCTGGGTCATTTTACTTAGGTTCGAAGATTTATTAAAGGGCCACTATCTAGCTAAAAATAACCACTAATAAAGAGCTACATTTAGTAGAATTCTACTAGAGATTTATAGAAGTTTTTTTACTGAGAGATTTTTCGGGGATACAGAAAGTT